TCTTGGCGGTAAAGTGCTTCTGCTATGAGAAGTAAGTTCTTCCATGAAGAAGGGTGCAGAGCCTGGTTTGCTCAGAGCCATTTCCCTTGTCATCTGAACAAAAGGTGAGAGGTTAGTTGAAAAGACAAGGACAAGCGTGGGCAGCTTAACTGACGTGTTCATCACTTGCTGTCTCACACTCTCCTCTGGCAAAGCCTTTCCTCTGCGGGGTGTGTGGGAGAAGGGGTGGCCCCAAACTGTGCAAAACCTGGGTTTGCTCCATCCTCCCTTAGAAGCTCTGACCCAACCTCTGCAGGAGCTGCTGGTGGCCAGGCTCCCACCCCTGACACAGCCCAACTCTGATCAATTGTTCTCACACAGCTCCAGGGACAGGTTCCCACCACTGCAGCTGCACGAAGCCCGTTTGGCTTTGATGGGAGGGAGGCAAGAATGAGCTCAGGCATTCTAGGGTTATGAAAATATAGAGCCCTAAGCAGATACTACTAAATTAACTTCTTTCTTACTTCCCTTGCTGCTACCAGTGCTTGGAGTTCATATTGTGCAGTGAGCCCCTTTGTTTTGTAGGAGACCAAGTGATTGAAAACAGCCATGATATTACTATGCATGGACAGTACATTTTTTCCATGTATTTTCATAACCCTTTTCCCAAAGGATCAAATATGTCTTTATTCTATAACTCCACAATGGGTTAGAGCAGCTCCTCAGGCGGGAATTGTTCTGCTCCATAGGCTACTTAATACTTCCTATAAACAAATACCAAATTAAGTAGGTAATACTCAGTGTTCCTGACCTTACTTGCAAAGTATGTGTAACTGCATCTCAGAGAGACAAGGGTGGAGATACCTGTTGTGAACCTGAGGTTAAAGATGACAAAATACTTATGAGGGTTTGTTTTGTTCTGTTTTAGTTTTTGGAGTTGTTTGTTGGCTTTAATTTTATTTTAATAAAAAACAAGGGTATGTGTGTGTATAAAACTGCATTTTCCACAAAAGAAATGCAGGGAAGCTTTGATCTCAGACCTCTGTTGTACTTTAGGCATCTCTGGTACTCAAGCAGAAGTGTATCTAGTTGAGAAAGGGGTTTCACAATAATGCCATGGGATATATTTTTAACTATGCCATGTGCATGCTCGCTTTGTGTCCCTAGTTAACACTCTGTAATTTAAAAAGTATTGTCTGAATTTGAGGCACGACATCAAGACTCCACATCAGAGCAGGACCCCTTGGTCCTCCACAGTCCCTGGCATGGGAGGTTTCCACTCTGCTTACCCTTTCAGAATGGGCTACCTGGGGCAGACAGGATGCTGTGGGAACCCTAGACCTTGCCTACACTATGGGCTCAGTGGCAGATGCTGCTAGACTGTTACAGAGGTGATATTGTTCCACTATAAGCCTGGCAGCCTCTGGGCTTTAAAGCAGCTGAGGACTGGGAAGGTCCATGTCCAGGATAGAAAAAAACGCACCAAATCTCTCTACCCCAATATCCCATTTGTGTGAGAGTATTCTGACCATTCCTCACAAGGGCCCTGAAAGCTGATATGAGTTTTTCTATTCCCCCATTGCTGTTTCTCTCAAGCAGCCCCTGAGTGAGTTCTACTCTCACTGCCTTGCCTTGGAGGGATGTGGCTGTGCTTGCCTCAGCCCCTTGCAGCATTTTGCAAAGGGATGGTCTGCAGACCATGCACTCCACTTGCAACAGTCCTTCCCACCCCCTTGTTTTGTTACCATCCTTCCTCCTCTCTTCTCTGCTCAGAAAACATCTGTTTCCAGATGTTGTTCTTGAGTCTAATAAATGTAGCGAAAGGCCTTGAGTTAATATATTTACAATAGCTGGAGATGTCGGCTGGTAGTTAATGTCTCATTCAAGCACACCAAGACCCCCATGTTTCCTGCGGGGGGAGGAGGGGGAAAGGAGAAGAACAGAAAGAAAAAGAGAACTGGGCTGGGGTTTTTCTCCCTAGTTAATGGTCTGAAAAGGGGAAGGTTATTGGTGGGAGTGAGCACATGACCACCTCCAGGCAGTTGGCTTCAACTTCCAGTTAGTGACAGGAAGGACACATTATTTTTTTAATGGAAGATTGTGTTTAAAGTGAAGGAAGGTCAGGAAAGCCTGCTGCTGTTATCTATCCCTTTTCAGGCGAAAACCTGTTGTAGATACCTAGCTGGCTTGAGCTGTGCTCACAGAAGTGAGATCCTCATCCCTGCCCAGCTCTGTCATTTCTGGCCTGTGGCATGGAGTGGTTCATGGCCACAGTACCTACCTTGAGTCAAAGAGGGTTTATGGTCTATTGCAATGAGACCACATTGTGCCCTGTGAGGAATCCCCCATATACTGTGCTCCTTTGTGAGCACTGTGTGTCTGCTGCAGAGCAGTGTTGGGCAAATTCCCTAAGGTGCTTTGCCCATGTATGGATGTCCCTGAGAAGGACGAAGTGCCAGTGCCAGCTCGAGAGTGACCAAGCTGGAGTCTTGCCACACCTGCTTGTAACTGATCAATTGACCCAGTGCCATGTGCTTGATGTGAAACTTTTTCATGATACAGAGGAGTTTCAGCTGCTTTGGAAGGTGATATTTGCTCCAGCTCATTGTATGTTTGTGCTGAGGTCCTTAACCACCCTGGAGGACCTGTTAGAAGCAGCGGAAGTGTGTGGTTACTGGCTTTGTAAGGAATTTTCATCAACCTCCCTGAGGAAAGAGGGATACAGCCCCCAAGCACAGCATATGGAGAGCGTTCTCTCTAAGAGTCACCAGTCAGCGAAATGACTCCTGATTGTGAGTATCTAGTTCTACTGGACAACTTTGAGAGTCACAAACTTGCAGGAGAACTGGTTTCAGGCCAGCTGAAAGCTGTACTGTGCTCAATTCCAGGAGTGCTGAGATGCTTCCACCTGCCAGGCCTGTCTCTGGAGGCAGCTTTTTTGTTGAGCATTGCTGCAGATTCGACAGGCGCAGTTGGCTCAGGTTTGTGGCTAAATTAGTTTATCTCTATTGGTGGCGTGGGATGACAGGGCTCCTTAATACTTCATGGATGGAAAAGTTACCATCCTGCACATCTGCAGCTAAAGCTTCTGCATGAAACTCGTCTGAGTTCGGCTCCCCAGCCTGCAGCAGCTAAGACAAACCTTCTAAATGAGCTGATCAGCTGGAAAGGGGCTGGTGGGGAGGCAGGAGAAGACACTTACAGAGTCATTCAGGTGATGCTCGTGTCTGGACAGCAGGGTCTGTATCACAAGTCAGCACAAAGGAGCAGAGAGCTCTCCCGAGCCAGTGTGGGGAAATGAGATGAAGACACCCAGCAGATTTCCACTTTTAGCTTAGAAGGTGAGTTTTTGTGATTTCAGTGCTTAGGTTGGTATAAAGCGGGGAGAGAGAGACAGCCGTAGGTGAAACTTTGTATAACACCGGCAGGTAGCTGCATTAACCAGTTCAATCCCCTGTCTTTAGGTAGTGTATTGCAGCACTCTCTAGGACACTCAGCACCAGTTGCTAACTGGTATTTTCCCGAGTAGATCTCTGCTTCTCAAGCACTGTATCATCAGCCTTTAAGCACCTCCCTTTCATTCCTCGTTGTCCACTTATTTGCTGTGATTGCAGGTGGTATCTTGGGTAACTCCCGTGCATCATGGTTTATCTCTGGCCTCAAAGACTTCTTTTCCTTTTGTAAAGAAATAGGCTGCTAACACAGAGAGAGACCAGGCACGGCGTAAGAGACCAGGGTGGCTACACTTCCTAAAGGAATAGACACCCTTTGTGCACCAGCTCTGTGCATTACACGTCTCTGCCTTGCTTATATGAAAAACTGTTGAAAGGCTGCAGCTATCAGAGGGGTGTTTTCCACGCCTGCCGGAACAGCAATCCAAATTTGAGTAGTGAGATGACAAGAAACCCACTAAAAGAAATAAAGGGTTTCCTGCATCGCAGACGCTAAAAGCCCTTTTTGGGAAATGAGTGACTCTGAAAGGTATGAGACCATTCAAAGAATTGGGGCTGTGTGCTACTGTGTCCTCTGAGGGTTTGTCTGGTGGAGGAGAAATAGCTCGTGCTCGCATTAACCTGCTCCCAGAAGGTATATTTCTTCCAGCCCTCTGAAACGGAGACCTGGCCAGAGATGAATATGAGTTTTCTCTGCCAGTTAATTTCCAGCACACACTGCACGCAAAATCTTCATTTAAAATGTGTAAATGACAGCAAAAGATCCACAAGGGAGCCAGATTTTAAGAGACCAATTTGTTGCCTGCGTTTTAAAGATTGTGCACCCTGGTGAGCCCTGTGTTGCTTTGCTGCTGAGCGTGCTCAAGGAGAGGATGAAAGAGTGGCCAGACACAGGCAGGGGCTCTGCAGAGACTGCATGTCACCCTGGAGGATAAAATATTGTATGTTATGCTCAGAAAAACTGGGAGAAGTGGCCCTCACTTGCTCCTGAAGAACAGAAAGAGGCTTTGTTTCCCAGACACGTGGCTCGGTGCTGTCCTATGGCACGTTTTGGGGAGACTGCTCCCTGCCAAAGGGGGCTGCCTGTCTGGTGCCCTGTAAGCGGTGGGGCATGATGTGAAGTTCTGCTTCACTACAGGACTTAAGCAGATTAGTTCCTCTGAACAGCCTTGGCAGGTTGTACCCCCAAATCAAGCCCCAAATGTTCCCCCCTTGAACTGCAGCTTTCCTGCCTGGGGTGTTTGTCCCTGCTGCCCTTCGCTTGTTTCTTGCAGAGCCCTCAGCTGCCAGCTCTTGTTTCCAGCTGTTTGCCTCTGCTTCTCACCCTGCCTGAGAGCTCTCATCAAAATATCGGGGTCCAAATATCCCAGTGCTGGTGCCTCAGGGCTGCCCCAGGATCTGCGTGGGGAACGCGACAGCCGGTTTGTACCGTCCCATAAAGTGCTCTCGGCTGCCTGGAGGAAAGGAAGACGCAGGCTGGTGTGAGCCCAGCCTCTGCTTTACAATCTCTTTCCTGCCACTATAAATAACCTCGGCGAGAATCACTTCAAAGGGAAGGGCTGGCGGCGGAGAGGTGGTTTGGGGACCGAGCGGGACAGGGGCGTCCCACTGCCCGATCCCACCCCGGCGCTTTGCATAAATAAATAAATCATGCAGCAAGGGAGAGGTGGAGAGAGAGGGCGAGCAGAGGAGGTTACTTTGGGAAGCCGCGCAGCTCGCTCATCCCAGCCCCGTAGTTCTGAGGCAGTGTGTCATGTTACAGGGGTGCCACGATCAGCCAGAGCACAGCGTCGCCGGAGCAGCTGAGAATTACCTCTCTCTGATGGGGACTTTCATGTGTGAGCTCCTGGCCAGTCTGCGAAGGAACTGAAACCGACAGCTTAGAAAGAATCAAAAATCTACCAGCGAACCAAAAGACTGAAATACAGGAGGAAAACCAAAAAATCTTGATCAGATTACTTTTTTTTCTCCCTCAGACGCTTTGCTGCAGTTGGATCCTTTTTTTTCTGCACCCCTTTTTATGTGTGTGGTTTGTTTTTATTTTTTAAAGACCCCCCCCATCCACTTTTGTCATTATTGCTGTCACTTGTGACTGCTGGCACTGGGATCCCATTGGACGTTCTTTTTCTATGCCTTGTGGATTGTGCTTCTTGGAGTAGGAGTGAAGCTTTATTTATTCTATTTATTTATTTATTGTTTCTCAGGACAGGGAGGGAATGTTGGAGGAGAAGAGCTGGAAAGGCGTCGATGAAGCAGCTTTTGACAGGGGGTGTGTGGCTCCCCCCAGGACCAGCGATGGGGAGAGATGCTGCCGCCTCCCTCTCCTGCTGGGCTCAGGGCTGCCCGGCGTCTCCCTGCTTTCTCTGGTGCTGAGTCTCCTGCTGTATTTTCGAACCTCCGATCTGCAGTCCCGGGTGTCCCACTTGGAAGCGGACAGACCCACACAGCTCCCTGCCTGGTTCTCCGCAGACCAGATGGAGACAGCTATTTTGGGAAGAGTTGACCAACTGCTCAATGAGGTCGGTGTTCTTTCACTTTGTATGTATAGTTTGCAGTATTATAGATTTTATGTACATGTATGCTTGCATGGTCATGTTATCCATGTTCCCCCTCCTTCCTTAGTAATGTATCTCTGCGCAAGGGATGCTGCTGCTCGGCTGAATTCCCTGTTCTTTCAGGTCCCTCCCAACTCTCAAACTTGCTTGGAGTTTACTTTTCTCAGCCCACACTGTGGCTGAAGCCTACGCTTTGCAGAGGAAAACCTTATCCCTGGTCCTGGCATGGAGGGAAGAACCTTCAGAAGTCTTGCCTGCTGAAAGGGCTAGCATCACAGCTAGAGGTTAAGTCTGGGGATTCACTGTGGGTTTGAGTCCCAGGAAAGGGATAGGCAAGGCATGTCAGCCGGCATGGCTATGGGAGGAGGTAGTCGCAAACTCACCGATGTTGTGATGGGCTGGCTTTGCTGTTGTGCCAGCCCTGACCCCTTCCCTAACTCTTGGCTCAGGAAAATGAGACACACTGGTATTGCCAGGATGGTTTGTGGTACTGCCAGAGCAGCAGTGCAGAGCATATGGCTGTGTTATGATCACTCGAGTCCCATCCAAACTCCACTGGACCCTGTGGGGTCTCCTCTGAGGATGGGGGAATGCTGCTACTGGCTTTAGCAGGTCAATAAAGAGGGCCAAAAGTGCGGATTATTGTTGCTGACATCTTTTACTTTGCTTTGTTGATGCGGCTGGGGGCTGTCTGGGTTCCTGTACTCTGAGCAGGATGAGTATTCCTTGCCTTGTTGAGCTTTGAAGTGTTGACATGTGTCAGGGAGCAGATGGTGACTTATATTGCTGAACTCTCCAGACAGGTCCCCACTGACCTGTTCCCACAGCTCTAGGAGAGACCTGGGGGTGAAATTCGGGGCTGGAGCCATTTCCACCCACCTCTCCTTTTCTCTGTTTACTCTAGCTTTGGCTTGAGTCATGCTGGAGAGATCCCTGGGGCTAGCCCAAAAACTGTTCGTGTCTGAAAAATATCCCTCATGTGCTGCTATTGCCAAATGAGGTAAGGAATGAGATGGTCAGAGTTGTGGCTATTGGGACCTACCTTGGGCAGTACTGCCTGGCACCTGGAGTGACCTGGACCCCCTCCTCATTTCTAGGAGCAGTGAAAGTCTGTGGTGAGGAGTATAAACCTACAGCTGACAGGCTTGGCTTCTGTTTATGGGTCTTGTGAGAGCAATCCCTGTATCTGCTGGGTTATGCAGCCAAAAGCTGTGAACCTTGAGTAAGGAAACACTGCAGGAGCTGAATGATAGGGTTTTCAGTTGCCTCTTTGGATGAGGAATAAGGGAAAGACAGGGTCCATGGGGCAATATTCCATTTTAAAAGGGGTTTGGGGAAACAGAAGCATTGCAAGTGACTGAACTGTGTCTTGTGATAGCACTCTCATGTAGGAACTTCTTCCCTGCCACCAGGCAGGGGATAACCTGCAGCAATGCCCCTGTTGCTGCTGGCATAAGTCTGCTGGGAAGTCAAAGTTTATCTCTACCAAGTGATTTGAGAAGAGCCACAGGATGCCTCCCGCAAGCGGTACCTGGGGCTGGCTGGCCCCCTGTGTCCTGCTGGCTCTGCTGGCAGCGGCACCTTTACGCCATTTTATAGCTTGGCTTAGTGAGGAAATGGGGCTGTCATGATGCTGTGTGCCCGGCAGCACCCCTGTTTTCTGAGCTGCTGCTCCTGTGCTCCTGGGAGAGGCCACAGTCCTCATTGCAGCCTGTGTGGAGAGCAGCTGTAGGACAGGAATGACTGCTTGAGGGGCCGGCACTTGCTCCTCGATACTGCCAGGGTTCCCAGCTCCATGCTGGCCTCAGCTTCAAAAAGAGCTTGGAGAAAAGTGCTGGAGACTGTGGAGCAGTAGGGATGCCTGGCCCATGTCTCCTGTTCCCTTTATACCTGTGAAGGTCTGATGCCCATGGGGAAGGAGGACTGTCCCTTTGGGGAGGAGACCCTGTCATCTCTGCTGCCCACTTCTGCTAAGCATCTAACCCTCAGACCTCCACACTCAGCCAGAGCCACTGGTGTGGACCAAGCGGCTCGAGGTCCAAGGCAAGGGGCTGCTAGTGGACAGATGGTGGAGTGGCATTTGAGGCTTTTGCTTAGGAAAGAAAAATCCTTCCGGTCCTCCTTTTCGTTAGATCTGAAGTGGGGCCCTGGACTAACTGGTGAGGGGCAAGGATGAGAAAGGAGGAAAAATGAAGGAGAAAAACAGGGAAGATAAAGGGAACTGGGAAAGGATGGGAGAAAAAAACAAGGAAAGCAAAATTAGTCATGCTGACCATGACTGGGGGAGAGGGGCTGTGGATGAGCTTGCTGCTGTGGATGTGAAAATGGGATATTCATCCCCCCTGCTCAGACCCTCGCTGCTTCTCATTGCCACATCCTTGCAGTTTCCTGGTGTTTTGACCTTAATGGGTTTCACAGCTGCCAACTCAGCGTTATCCATCACAAAATAAAACAGCAAAGCTTTAAAGAAGCCCTAGCTTTACAAAAAGCTAGTCAGAGGTGGGCAGGGAGGTGGGAAGGGAGGGAAGGCACAGCACCGGAGCATATTTCTAACTGGTGGCTGTGAAGATCAGCTGGAGGAACGTGAAGAAGTAAAGTCTGTGAGATCTGGTGGAGGAGCTCTAAGGTTATGCTCAAAATCCGTACTGCTCCGTGCTCTGAACTGGAGTTGGGGAATGCCCTCCAGGCTGGGCCATGTTTGTGCCCAGGTCTGCAAGGGACACCATACAGATTGTACTGAGGAGTGCAAATTGCCAAAGTCCTTTTACAGGCGTTTCTTCTAGACAAGGAGAATAGCTGTGTCTGTTTGCTTAAGATGTTAATTTTAAGGCAGCTGGTGGGGATGTTTTTTCGATCTTGGAGCCTGGTTTTCGAGCAACTGTGGCTGGCTTTGGTAGTGTTTCCATCTCAGCTCAGGAGGAGCAAGGAAAGGGCAGCAGATATTTTCCCAGAAGCAGCCTGACCAGCACTTCAATTGCTACTGTATAAACCTCTGCCTGGTGTAGGCGAGTACCACAGGGGAATTTACTACCAGACTCGTACTGACTAGGTTTTGTTATAAAAACATCTGTGCAGAATGGGCCAGAAACAGGTAGTACAGGGAGAACTTTAACTCCATGGAGGAATTCGAATTCCTCTGCATTTATGAGACTTCATAAAATCATGCAAGGAGCACAAATAAACTCACTACTGTCATTTGCAAGAGAGGCAAAGCTTTCCAAAGAAGAAAACAAGGTCCTTTCCCATGCTGGGTAACATTTGGTGCTATTTCATCTGCCAAAGCCTCATCAGGGTGGAGAACAAGAAAGATTCAGTGCTGCTGCTAGGGAAAAATATCCCAGAATTTGTGAGCTTGTAGCGATAGAAATGTGTATGTGTGATGCAAGAGCAGGTAATCCTGTGCAGCCAGAGGAAGGATCAGCTGCCCCTTGGCCTTCTCAGCGGCTTGTGTTGAAGGTGTTTGTTGTGGCTTTAATGATTCTGGTGGGATTCAGGAATGTGCCTATGATTGAAGAGGGAGCATTGATCCTCACTGCTTTCCCAATAGTCTCATTTCCCTGGAACTCTTTCCTTACTTACGTAAGGAAAGGAGAGACACCAGAAAATTCCCTTCCCCTCCTGACTTGAAGCTTCCCCCAACCTCCCCTTTTATTCCATATCTCAAAGCACATTGATCAATTGTTTCATAGGGTCTGCAAGCTTGCTCTGAGCATCCTCTGCTTACATCTTTAGCTTAGCATTTTTTACCCCAAAATCAGGAGATCTATTGTTTTTCTTTCAACTTCTCTGGTAGCTGAGTCCTATTTCCTTTCAGCTGCTTGCAGTCTCTGTACCTAGGTGGTGTTATTTCCAAGCTTTTTGCTCCATCTGAGACAACTCGCTCCTTGCTTTTGCTCTGTGCCACATGGTCCCATGGTCCCAGGAGCTGGGCCTTTAAGAAAAAAAAACAGGGAAATTGGAGATAAAACAATAAGAGTTAACAAAACCACCCACCCTTGAAATCCTGTAGATGGTTGTAATAGATTATCTATTTAAGATGTGTTTCTTTTAGCTGTTGGAGATAGTGGTGGGAAATGATTTCACCTCCCTGGGTGACTGCAAACAACTGGGAATGCTAAAGAGCTATTAATCTGCCCACTTTGAAGAAGTGCCCTCCCTCTTGCCTAATCTCAAGTGCCCAGCTGAAATAGACAGGCACTTGCAAGGTTTAGGAGACCACAGCCATGGTCTTCTAATGTCAGAAGATACCTTGCTTTTACTGCTGTGTCCACCTATGGCACCTGTGTCATGCTTGTGGTGAGTTAACAAAACCTATGGGAAAAGTCCTTGCTGACTTTTCTTCCCATTCCCAGCACTTGTTTCCGCACGACCCTCCTGGCCTTTCCTACTTTTCTTTCACACTCAGCCATGTGCGATGGCTCCCTAAATTACAAAGAGGTACAAGCTGAGGTGATCAGCTGTGGCTCCAGCGCTGGCAGAGGCTTTTTTCAGCCACTTGTCGTGGAGCAGGGGGAAGGTGCAGCTGTTAAGTGACTGGATAACATGACAGACAAGAGCAAGCTGGCTTTGCTGACAAAGCAATCCTCTCTGTAGGAAGTGTTTTCAGCCTTTCTGGAAGGCAAGAGGTAGTCTGTTGCTGCTTGTGATGTTATGTGCTCCAGGTATCCCCCAGGTGAAAAAGCAAATCCCAGATCCCAGGAAAAAGATTGCAAACACTAGATTACCAGAGGTCGCCTACCTTTTTTAATTTTGTTTACAGAAGTCAACTTTGCCCTAAAATTGAATGGTTTTCTGTTGCCTGGAAATGAAATTTTTCTCTTGGAAACACCATTTTTAGATGCTCTCCTGAGCAAAGCCAGCTTCTTGTGTGAGACCAGGCAATATTTTGCACAGTGGTAATGAGGGAAGCAGAAAAGGCTGGGAATTTGTTTTGTTTCACCATCTTCAACCCAAAGTTGAACCGAGGTCTCCAGAAGCCGAGGATTTTTTTCCGTGGCAATCAGTGTTTGTTTAGCAGCCTGTGCAGGAAGCTGGACTCCAGGCTCTCCTAAATCCCTGGTAGGTTTTGCCTCTCACTGAAGGGGAGCAATCCTGTGGCACCACTGGGCTTTGCACTCCCCAGGGATGTGCAGAGCTCTTGGGCTTGAGGGAGGCACAAGGGATGGGGGGAGAATGTCCAAGTGCTGGTGAATGCCTGATGGCTGCATGGTCATGGTGCACAGGGCTGTGCTCCCAGCCTGCCCAGCAGCATCCACTCCTCCCTCCTGAGGGGCCCCCATCCTTGAGAAGGCTATTTCAGTTTTTCCAGGTCTTTCCATTACCCTGACCCTGCAGATAAAGCGTCAGGGAAATGTTATCGGTCCTGTTCCTTTCCCGGTCATGCTCAAGTCCTGCTGGGTCATCATTTCCCTGTCCAGTTATGCTGCTGCTCTCCTTGTATGCCTGCACAGCAACCTAGCCAGGGCTTCTTGCAGCACACCCTAACTCAGCCATTCCCTCTTAGCCCCTCCAGTGCCTCTGCACTTGGTGGGGCAGGGATCTGTTCCATGTTTCCTGGCAGATTTGTGTCCTGTAAAGGCTGAATTTGGACCCTTGCTGGCTAGGAAATGACTTTCTGCTCCTGCCTTTGTGAACTATTGTGAACCCCTTCCTTGTCTGAGCCTTGTCTGATTCCCAAACATGGGAACACCACTCAAATGTGGTAGTCTCGTGTTGGAACATTTTGGTTGGTACATGTATAGATGGGAATGGGGCTGTGTATGTCTAGATACCGATGTGGGTATCCAGATAAAGGCTCTGCTGTCCTACTTGTGCCCATGTTTTTCCTCAGGCCCAGTTAAAAGCCAGGCAGTGCTGCAGAGCTATGCCATCTGGGGATGACAGATGGGCATGTGCCCAAATGCAGTGATTCACATATCTGTGCTTTTAAACTGAGAATGTAAACACAGATGAAATGCTCTATGGGAATGGGCAATTTTCCTTGCCTGAAACCCTCTCCTCACCCTGATATCAAATCAACTTGGTATCAAAACATTTCAGTCTACCATGCAAAGTAAGGCCCTGAAAAGATTCGATTTCTAGTCAGTCGCAACAACCCTTACTCTTTTGATTCTCAATGAGGAAGCCAGTCCTTTCAAAGTGAAAAAATGGAAATGTTCCAGCCTGTTCTGCCTTCCCTCATCCCAGGCAGAAACAAGTTGATTTATCCTCTCTAAAAGAACTATTCCCCAAATGGATGCCTTCTTGCAGGAAGATGCTCAGTTACTTGTGAAAATAAAGCAATTTCTGTATGATCTTGGGCAGGGGCTTCTGTCGTGCCCTACATAAGGCTATTTATTTTGAAACGTGGGTCCACTTGTGAAGTAGTTAAAAAACATAGGGGGGTGCTACTGGGATGGGATGTTTGGCTTGAGAGTTAAGAGGGAGGAGGGAGTAACTCCGTAGCTCAGGAACCCCAGCAGCTCAGCCTTCTCAAATCATTAACTAAGTGTGGATCACAGCCATTAATGAATAACTTAATTGGATTGATTTGCATTTTCTTCACTAAATTACAGTTATTTTATAAAGTCTGTGAGGGCTGGTGAGGATGCTACTCCTGAAGCACATTTTGCTCAGGACATGGGTTAATTTTATTGACATTTCCAGTGAGGGAAGATGCGCTAATCTCAGGTGGACTTTATTTGCCCTTTAAGAGATACACAGATGGTCCCAGAGAGGAGGAGACTGACATGTTGGCACCATTAGAAATCCAAACTCAAATGAAATTAACATTCTGACAGAATTCCACCTTGTGGAAGTACTTGATAGGCTTGTTGTGTTCTACCCTTGGGGAAAAACTGATTTTCACAGCGTCTAAAGGTTTCAGGGGATGCAGTACCACAATCTTGCAGTGGTACCCATCTTTCCACCCAGGTGTCTCCATGAACATAAGGAGTCTGCTGCAGGGTGGAAGAGGACCTGCTTCAGATCTTCATTTTCTGCCCACTGAGTGGGTCTTCTGAGAAATGCAGCTTTGTCACGAGGACACAGTCACCAATTTATTTGCCACTGCTGGCTCTTGGTTTTGTAATGCCTGTCAGGAGGACCACATTTGGAGGCCATTACGAAACGCCCTCAGCCTGCTTTCAATCAAACCCCACATTTCTAGTTAAAGACCATGAACTTTATTGCCTTTTTTCATTCTCAAACTGCTCTGCCCTGTCTCTCCCATCTCTACTTGGGCAGCATCCCCTCCCAGTTCCAGTTTTTCAAGAATCTGAGGCTTTGATTTCAATGGTAGAAATAAATCCTTTTTCTGTTTTTCCTCTCTTGGCAGAAATTAAAGTTCCACTTGCCAAGACATCGAGAAGTTCGAGACACCCACCAGCGATGCAACTGCCCGGCAGGTAGGGATCTGCGACAGCTGGCACTTTGGAAGGACCTTTTTTATCTACATCTCATTGAAGTTTTTTTTAATGTGGTCTCCTGTGTGAATGCAAAGTTATGTGAACTTGCATAACAGTGTGCTTGATGTATAGGAAATGGATATGGAGATGTGTGCAACAAGTCTGGTATGTACGTGGATACCAACATGTGACAGGAGAAACAGAAAAAGTGGTGGATAACCTGGTAGATGTCTAGATAACCAATAAAGAGAGAATAATACATCTAGAGGGCAAATGTTCCCACTGATTTTAGATACCAGTTTTGAAGTGTGCAGAGCAGCTCTTGGGAAGTGCATCTGACCTGGCTGATTTTGGAAGGTTTGCGACATGTAGGCTGGATCCAACACCAAAACTGAACATCTGAATTTTGGTGAGCTAAAATGCCTCTAGGGTGAGAAGATTTGAATTCCTTGGTGTTCTACGACTATCTGAGGCATCTCAAAGAATAATAGCTTTCTGCTAGAAGCAGCCATTTATGAGGAGGTTGAATGAAGTGGTCACTTGAGGTCCCACTCATGTAACATACAGCAACATTATGGGATTGCTTAATTGCTTTATGGTTTTAATCATGTTAATATCAAAAGCCTCTTTGAGACATGTCTTTTGAAGTGGTTTCAATACAATAAGTGACAAATTGCTATGGAAAAAACATTTGTGAATGGCATTTCATTCCATGAGAATGAATCATTCAGCGTTCTTCATTGTCTTTTGCTGCATTTGACTGTTCAGAAAAAAAAGCCAGAGAAGTGCCAGCTACCACTCGCATCTGAAGTTAAAGTTTTGGGAGAGTTTGAATTTGTATATTTAAACTGATTAACTGAACACATTTTGCAAAGAAGGTGGCAAGAAAAGTTATGTCTCGATGAGCACATGAAAGCAGAATTTATATTTTCTGTGTTTTCTCCTTTCAGTACCCAGTGTGAGGTGTTTGACAGCATATGGTGGTGTGCTCATCAAAGGGTATTTAAATGTGGTCAACAGTGGGATAAGGGTGGATGATACTACAAAGGGGTAATCTTTGCTTTAAGTAAGATCTCAAAATCATTGTATTTAGGCCTGTAGCAGGTCTCTTGCCAGACTAAAATGAACTTGCTAGGTAGCAGATTGTAAAAGCAAGAGTTAAAGCTCTGCAGGTTTGTGGTAGAAAAGAACTAAAATCCAGGATTCAGACTTGTAGAACATAGCAAAAAGTCTGATTTGACTAATCCAGATCAAAATTGTTGGACTTTCTTTTTGCCCGAGAAAGAAACAACAGGAGCAATTTTGGTTTAAATTTAGAAGATGGCACAAATGAAATGTTTCCTAAGTATCTGTTCTCTAAAGAACAGATCAAACCTGAATTCAACTGATTTTAAATATCAATGTTTTCCCTTCAGTGGGAGCAAAAATCATAGCCCTCCTCAATTTTTAAGTTCTGGCCTGGACTTGATATATAAATGCTGTAAAACAAGAGGAATTAACACCCTCCTGGTGTTTCTAAGCCAGCTTCAAGAAGGAAACTTAGAATTTGAATGCAGAGCAGAGACAAAAGATTCACTTCTTTTTGAGGCCATCTGAATGTCACCTCTTACACCATTTGTGTGATAGATGACTCACTCAGGTATTTCAGCATCGAGATCCGTAACACCTCATTACAGATAGCCATGTCCCTTGGGAAGCTTTGGCAGCAGTCTGTGATGGATTTCTCATGACTCTCAGGTGCCCATTCATTTCATTAAGTTCATAGTATTGCTGAATAACAGCTTTGATTCAGGATGACAATAATAATAAATGTTTCATAAAGGTTGAGGCTTCCTTTTTACCTGTCAAACTTGCTTGCCTTCATCAAATACTCTATGGGTATAGAAATTATGGCTAAAATTCTCCCCCACTCTGTCAGCTACTTTGTTGAGGGAAGTTAAATCATGATCTAAAGCTGATGTTGTAGCAGGTGAGGTTTTTATTGGCTTGGAGCAGTACAGAAAACAAAGGCACCTTCAGCCAGATGTTGTCTTGTCTTAGACCCTTTGCTTCAGGGTATTTCCCTTTGGTCTCCAGGCTGATGCAATGCAGACCACCTGACCATATTTCATCGTGGTCTCTCTTCCAGCCTGAGACCTTGGGAATCCTTTTCCCCTATGCATTTTTTCTCTTGTGTTTAAAATGCCTCAAGGATCAGACAACATGACTTTTGCGGGAGACCAAGGTATTCAGAAGCGTCAAGATGTTGCAAGACTTGGCGCATGCCTGTTGCTTCTCACTGGCCCCTTCACTGCCTATAAACACATCATGCTCCTCAGCAAAATAAATGTTTATCAGAAGTGACATTTGAGTTCATCCCTATCTGGGACCCAGGTCCCTGCATGGCAGAGAAGGGGAAAAGACAAGTTCATTTGCTGACCTGTTCAGTTCGGATGTGGAGGTGCAGGGCAGTGTCACCCATTGCCATAGAAGAGCTTCAGAACAGATGGGGTTGTGAACATAAATGGTTTGGAAAAGCTGAGAATAGGAGAAAAAGAAGATTGTGAAGTATGTGACTGTGCTGTGGCTATCTGAGAGTGTGTGATAAGGGCTCTAGGAATTACATGGTCAGGAAAACAGCACAGCTGTATTTATAGTAAACGATAAGGAAATATAAGTTTCCTTTGACTGGGAAACAGCTACTTCAGATCACTTGTGCTGGGTGTGACTACCTGTGAGACGTTGCTCCTTGGCATTGTGTTTTTTGAGCTCTGAGGTTGCAATGGGCTACTCCAGCAGGGTCTAGATGGGGAGGACGCAGCCCTCAAGTTTAGCACAACCTATCTGGGTAATTAATGACTTTGTTCCCTTCAACAGGTAACTTGTGTCATTCCTTCTGTCCCCAGTTACTGCTAGACTGATCTGGGACAACTTTGCACAGGTTGGCCAGCAGACCTGGGGAAAAGATTGGGGATGCCTCAATGGCAGCAATGACTGTACCCAGCTATTCTCCAGCCTCAGACCGTGTGCTGGGATGGGACCAAGGTGTGGGCAGGGAGCTCAGCACAGGTTTTGGTCTGAGGTTGTTGCTTGCGTGGATGTGACTTGGGGAATTTTTCTGCAGCTAAGCAGATGCTTTTCCATATGGTGTGTCAATGTGGTTGGGAGCTACCTGTGGCTGGAGGATCCTCTTACAGCCAACTGACCTCCCTTGATTTCCTCCATGTGGTAAAAAAATACTGCGAGGGGAAAGCATTGTATTTCAGGCTGACAGGGCAAAAAAATCTCAGCTTTCCTGGTCTAATCTTGATCCAGTTGCAGATCCAGACTGTGTCTGCCTGGGTAGCCTCAAACAGCCAGGGATTATACCACAATCCCTTCCCACAGCCTTCCTGGAGGAGGTGGGAGCTTGTGTATTTTGTATATTGTGGCTCTCATTATAAAACTTTTCCCGTCTTCCTCTCTTCAGCTCTGATTTTCACAGTCCCCACGTGGCTGTTTTTCACACTCTTGGCTCTCTGCTCTGATCTTCAATATCCCTTGAAAAAGAAAAAAAAAGGCTGGCCGTTTTCCCTCTGCCTCCACAATGCTTGTTTTGGTCCGGTTTCTCCTTGGACAGGTTGGGAGCCTGTGGTGCTGGAGGCGGTCAGCCATGCAAGCCGGGAAGCAGCTCAGAGGGATGCTGAATGACTTTTCCATCCCTCCCTATGGCAGCACTTGGGGGCAGAGGAGGGACCTGGGCTGCAGGAGGAGGCAGCTCCCAGGGACTGCCACTGGCCGTTAGAGGAAGGTTGTACAGCCCTGCCACAAACCAATGTACCTTCTGTTACAGGGGCTTGGAGGATGGTGTGGGGTGGCTGCAAGGATTTTGGCAGTGGCCAGGAACTGGAGTTTTCTTCGGAATATCTTTGAGGCTTTGCAAAGGAATGTCCCCTGGGCATTTCTTCTCAGACAAAATTTCACCCATGTTCCCTATCTGCCTCAGCATGGGGCACAGTGAATGCTTCTTGGCCACCCTTCAGCTGCAATTGACATTAAAAAAATACCAGCAGGAGATACCRCAACTCAAAATTGTTGCTGCTGTTCCCCTTCTTACTGGGAGGCCTGCAGGAGCCTGCAGGAGATGTGTGCCACATGGTGCATGTCTGTGGTCCAGGCATTCTGCTTTCCACCTTGGCTACACCCATCCTGTGCTGTCCAGACCCCTCTGCACACTGGCAGCTGCTGGAGGAGGCCAGTAAGAAACAGGGTAGGGCTGCATCGGGCATTGGCTCTGACCCAGGATGTCACCCAGAGCCAGCAGGGCCAGCTGATGGGAAGCAGAGGATTTCCCACATCCTGACCTTTGCGCGGCCGCACAGATGGCTGCGAAGGGAGAATAAAATGCTGGGAAAGGTAGAACCTGGGCTAGTGGATGAGGAGTTGGCTGGAGCAAGGGGAGACCTCTGGGCAGCATGGGCTGAGCCTTGGCCCTGCAGCAAACAGGTAGGATGTGGTATCCAAATGGATGTGCCTGTTTCTAACTTGGCATTTGTAACTTCTCCCCAAACATCTCTGTGGAGATAAGCCAAAAAGGGGTAGAGCGTACAAATCCTGCCTTCTCCCCACATCCTAGTTGGGGTGCTCTGTCTCTTGCAAGATTATTTTCATGGTTTTATATTTTCTTGCTGTCATATTTAACATGATCCTCTTTCAGCTTGCTGGGGCTGCTTGGACAAATCATAGTATCATAGAATGGTCTGGGCTGGAAGGGACCTTAAAAGACTATCTAGTACCTGCCCTGCCACACACTGGAACACTTTCTATTAGACCAGGTTGCTCCAAGCCCTGTCCAACCTGACCTTGAACACTTCCAGGGGTGTGGCATCCACAGCTTCTCTGGGCATTCTGTGCCAGTGTCTCAATGCTGCTCAAGGGCTCCCACGAGATTGAAAACATGAGCACATTGGTGAGCCCTGAGAGGTGAAGGAGGTGTTTGGGATTCCTGGTGTGGGATGAGGGTGTGGAAAGGTCAACT